CAGGTTTTTTTTTTTTTTATCTTTGCCGGGCTTTGGAAGAAGTATGACCTTCGCATGCTTCCAATTGACGGGAAAGTAACTTAAATTTAAACATGCATTTATGATGCTAGTATACATCGTGATGCAATTGACAGGCAGATTTCTAATAGCCATGTTACTAATCGTGTCATAGCCAGGTGCCTTTCGTCTCTTTAATTTCTTAATAATATCCTGGACCTCAGATGCAAATTTTGGGAGATTTCTGACTGTTTATCTAGTCGCGTAGATAATAGCAAACTTCGTAGGTAAACTCAATATTGCGTGGGATGCGGTTTGGCATAAACTGCTGTTCTAGGTGCTCCGCCAGTACATGTGCTTTTGCGTTGTTAGTAGTGGCAATGTTGTTGTCAGTATAAATGGGCCTGTTGCAAGTAGCAGTACCTTTAAGGTTTTTAATAAACTTCCATAGCGAACCGTCCTCTGGGTTTAAATTCAGGATCCTTTCTTCCCAAACCTCATTTCTATCCTCCAAATTTCCTCCTTCTTCAAACCTCATTTCTCATGCTCAGTTTTCTTTTCTGTTTAAATGCTCTGTTTAATTGATTTAATTCTCTCTTAACCAGAGGACTCCAAGTCACTTTTCCTTAGCCGGTTTCTATCTTTAATTAAGTCCCTAATGCTCTACCGGCCTCAAGTCCCTACCGGCAAATTGCTCCTTATTAACCTGACGAGAAGCTGCAAGTGTTATTAACTGCAGTGTTTATGCTGTCTGTCAAAATATCAGTGGCTGAATCTATATCATTTCTGGTCCTTAGACTTCCAATATTTGGGGGGGGGTTCACCTGCAAGATGTCTTTGAAAAGGTTCCAATCAGTAAGATTAATTTTCTCGCAGCTTCTTTCTTTGGCCATACGAAGTGTAACGAGGACCGGCAAATGATCAGAAATCAGTTCATGTACAACTTCAGTGAACATCGGAATTGAGGTGTTAGTAAGTAGCAGGTCGAGGATATCTGCCTGATGAGGATTATCAGGACGATATGTAAATTCTGCAGGCGCTTCCAATGTAACTGGGTAATTGTTCAAAAAGTCATACAGGGTTTATCCGTTTTTATTTGTAGAACGACAACGCCATTCTCTGTGCTTAGCATTGAAATCGCCTGCTAAGATAAACTGGTTCTGTTCAGGACAAATATTCTTAAGAATGTGAATGTCCTCCTTGAATTTCACTTGAGGAGGATTGTAGAAGGCACTAAAATATATGGTACCCAGAAAGGGTAATTAAAACTGAAACTGTAACTAACTCATGGGAGTTGTTTCTATCCTCGGCGATTAAGCATGACCGAAGGGAATTTCGAACGTATACCGCAACTACTCTCCCTCTGTGACTCAGCCTGTCACAACGATATACACGAAAATTGTTGATCCTTAGAGATAACTTAAATATAAACAAAAGTTTCAAGAAAAATTGTGATACATCTTTATAGTAACGGCCACCAAAATTTAATTGGAAATCGATTGAGATGTAACATGCATCAAAGTAGAAGAAGAGCACGTGGCAAGATATTAATCTTTATTATAGCAGTCCCCTAAATTTAATTGGTATTCAACTGAGATGTAATATGCAGTGAGGTATAAGAACACACGACAAGATTTCAGGAAGATATTTCAGTTGATTAGTGATTTAGTCTTTTGGGGGGGGGCTGCTGTAAGACCGAAATACCAAAATTGGTTACTAGATTTATTTTATTATTATTATTATTATTATGTTTAATTTTACAAATGTAAACATGTTTTTAGAAACAACATTACAGAAAAGTTCCATTTTAATTAATGTGAATGCTGCACTTGATGTAATGATGCACTTTTTTAAGTGTTCCGCATAAAACTGCTTGGTTCTTATTAGACTACTTCATGCGAAAATGCTCAACCTATTTCTTTTTTTACATTGAAAATTTTCATCTTGACTAAAGAGTACATCTACTATGTTAAAAAAAAAGAGAAACTCTATAACATTATTTGATAACTTTTATTTTGGAATATTTCTCTTTGATAATATTTAATTCCCAAACTCCCATTTTCTTATTCTCATTTTGAATGAGACTTCTGCTTGAACATCCTCCTTCAATGTAATCAACTCTTCTTGCATCATAATATCTAGATCAAATATATTGCAATTCAGAGGTTCCATGAGCCACTGACAAATTTAAATTTTCAATGTCTTGGAATTTTTAAATTTTGCAAGCGTTTTGTATATAACAATACGTTTTCTGAGAAAGTTTGCATTCTTATACTTTTGGTTGTGTTTTATTTGTTCCTGCATTTATTCTTTTATGCTGTACTTTTGCATAATTAATTTATACATTTTGAAAATGTAATTTTAAACTTCTATTAAGTAATTTTTTATGTATTTTCCCCTTATATTTATTTTGTATGATTTTCTTCCTTACCACATGTGTAGTTTTATATCAATAAACGATTAATTATACATTTTTTATTCAATGGGGGCTTGATTATTCCTATAAATTGTAGGTGCATATTTGCTATCGACCCTTTTGATCCTCATTGACCTCTGGGGGTTCAATAGCAACGTTCTTAAAAACCAGCTATTCTTAAAAACTATAAATATCTAGTTATGGCTATTAAATGATTCTTAATTTTAATATGTAGCTTCTGCCAACAAAGTTTGGCTACTCCTACCTGCATACATTAAGTGTGATGCCAAGTTCAATCTCCATGTTAATACATTTGTTTGACACACTGCGATTTTACATGGACATTTTTTACATAGAATTTTTAGATGTTTCTAAATAAAAAGATGGCTCTTAATATTAGAACTGCTGATGATAAATAAATATATACTTCAATCAAGAAAGAAAATCTGCCATTTTGATGAATCATTTGCTTTTATTTTAAGTAAATCAAGACCTGTTTAGTGAAAAAGGCTTGAGAATCCTCATTCACCAATTTCCAAAAGCAGAATGCAATAAGGTTTAAAATTTTTAGCAGGAAGTATATCTTGAGTCTACATAGTCACAAGTTACTTACATATGTAATATATTGCTTGCATCATATGTTTCTAAAAGCTTCTTTTATTATAGAAATGTAGAAAACATTTAATAAAGTATACAGCATAATTACCAGCCTTTAAATCTTAAAAAAAGGAAGGTTTTTTTTCCATGCTCTGTAGCAACACCATTTCAATGCAATTTGCCTAATTTAAGTTTCATTAACTCAGTAAATTTCATTTATTGCTGGGAAACGTTTTGCTTACTAAAGACAAAAAATTAAAAACAATGAGTTTCAATGATCTACCAGGAGATTGGGAGATGTAATGAAAACCTGAGAGAGATAATAGCTACTATATACAGACACACACACACACACTCGCCCCAAAAAAAAACTGAGTTACAAATTTTTAAAACCATGACAAAGAATTTATAGTTTTGTTAACTACTTTAAACAATATTTTGGCACGTAACGTTTATGAAAGTTGGTTCAAAATTGATGTTAGGGAGCATTTAAGTTTTCTTATTCAGTTTTCCCTGATAAAACTTCATTAAAATACATGCTTTGCAGGCTCTTTGTATGGAAATGTATGTCACACTTCTCACCATATTTTGCTTTGAGGATCAATTGGTTCAGCTCAACTGGCTTATGCTGTACAGGGTGGTTCAAAACTATATGTCAAAAATGTAAAGGCAAGTAGAGGGTACCTAAATAAGCAGATTTCGTATAGGAAAATGTGTGCAGTAATGCCGCATTGAGCCGGTAGAGATTGCTGATGATTACGGCGTATAAAAGCGCTATCCTAACTGGATTCTTTATTTTCCGTATGGATCTCGAACAGCATGCATCATTACACCAATGCAGAGCTTGCCGACATGCATTTCATGTATAGGGCTGCACAAAGAAATGAATTAACTGCTCAAAGAATGTACAAGGAGCAATTTTAAGGGGATGTCTTACTTAAACCAGCTGTTCACAGACAAATGTGGTTCCAGCATGATGGAGCCCCAGCTCACTTCAGTGGGAATGTCAGGAATCACCTGGACGCTGTCTATGGCCAGCACTGGATAGGATGGGGAGGAATGCGTTCTCCTGATTTAACCTGCTTGAATTTCTTCTTTTCTGGTCATATTAAAGGCTTCGTGTACAGGAGTCCAGTCACATCTGTAGAAGATCTTGTTTCCCACTTGTCTGTTGTTGCTGGACATATGCTCGACATACCTGAAATCTTTTCTAAAATACGCTGATCCATGTGTCGCCAATGAATTTTGTATCTCTGTTGGTAGCCACTCTTTCAAATGCCTATTGTAACTGTTAATAATTTTTTTCTTTCGACTTTACTTGTCTTTTCAGTTTCCTGTGATTCATACTGCTTTACGTGCTAGTGCTTTAATGCGACATTACCACACACGCATTCCTGTATAAAATCTGCTTATTCAGGTCCCCTCTGTCTGCCTGTACATTTTTGACATATAGTTTTGAACCACCCTGTGTATGTACTCAGGAAAAGTTGTAATGTAACACAAGATAATACTCTTGTTCTAAAAAATTACCAAACATCACAGAAATTGTTATATTGCCTATTTTTAAAAAGACGTACTTTACAAACATTGAAATATTTATTCTTGTATAGCAGTGATTCTCAACCTGTGGGGAGCGCCCCCTAGGAGGGCGCGAGCACACTAATGGGGGGAGCGAGCATATCCAAGAGAAAATGTTATTTAAAAAATATGATTAAGTGACTGAAAGGAAAGAACACACACATACCAAACAAAATACATTTCGACATATTTAATAATTAACTTATTAAATTAAAACAACTTACTAAATTAAAAACAAATTTAATAATTATTAGTGACTTCCTTGGGCCTGTCTTGCAGAGCAAAGGTTTTCGAAGAAAGGTTTAATATTAGAAACAGACACTCTCAGTTCTTTTTCTATATTTAACTGAGATCTATATTTTGTCTTCAAAGAAGCCACCGCAGAAAATCCAGTTTCACAAAGGTAAGCTGTTTAAAATGGTAGTAGAGCGCGAAATGCTCTTGTTTTTAGTGCAGAAAACTCATCATCCACTCCTGTCCAAAATTCAAAAAGTGATTTATTACTAAATTGTCTTTTGGTTTCACCGCTTGCCGTGAAGTCTATGAAGGTTTCTTCCTCTTCAATTGAGAGTCCTTCGGGAGTATTTTGAAATGGATCCCTCACCCACTTGTAACTTGATATCAGTTTGTCGTCAGCAAGAAAGTACTTTTTAAAATTCTTTGCTAGCATTGCTAAATGATTTTCAATGGTTACAAAAACAACTTTTACATGTTGTTCTTCAGCCTTGTAAGTTTTAATACAATCATTCAAATTTGCAAACATAGTTAAATCTTCTTGCTTTAAATTTCTGCTCCACAACTCAAGTTTCCTACAAAAAGCATTAACTTTATCACTCGTATCCAATATATGCGTATTTGCTCCTTGCAGTTGAAGATTCAAGTTATTTAATTTCTCGAATATGTCGACCATGTAGCTCAATTTCATCACAAATAAACTATCACGAAAATTCTCAGTTTCCGGTCTGTTTTCATCTTGTAGGAAAACGGCGATTTCTTCTCTTAATTCATAAACACGTTGCAAAAATTTCCCTCGTGATAACCATCTTGCCTCGCAATAAAATAGTAACGCTGAATGTACTGCACCCATGTCTTTACAAAGTGCGGAAAAGATTCTTGATTTCAGGGGTCTCATTTTTATATAATTTACTACGGTTACAACCGTAGTTAACACAATATTCAAACCAGGACTCATTTCTTTGGAAGCCAAAGCTTCTCTGTGGATCATGCAATGTGTCCAGACGCACTGTGGCGATTTTTGTTTCACAAGTGCTTGAATACTTTGGAATCTTCCGGACATAGAACGAGCACCATCGGTGCATATTCCGACGCAATTTTTCCATTCTATGTTTGCCTCGTTCATAAAATCATTTAAGATAGCAAATAATGCGAGTGCTGTTGCTTTGAGTTCTATTGGTTTGCAGAAAAGTAATTCTTCTACTACTGACAAATCATCACAAAATCTAACATAGGCAATGGAAATGAGCATCTTTATTACTATCTGTTGCCTCATCGAGTTGTATTGAAAACAATTTGTCACGTAACTTCGACAAAAGCTGACACTCTACATCTTCAGCTATATCAGCAATTCGACGGGCAACAGTATCATTTGATTGAAAGAGTATAGACTGCAATTGTTTTGCAAAATTATCTCCAAACATAATTTCTACAATCTCAATTGCGGCTGGCAAAATAAGCTCTTCACCAATGGTGTGAGGCTTTTTACATCTGGCTATTTTATATGAAACTTTGTAAGAGGCAATTAAAGCTTTTTCATTCACAGAAAGTTTTTTTAAACAATGATTTTTGCTTTTCATATGATTTTAATTTTAATTCGAAGAATTCTCTGGGTTTGTTTACGTACTCACTATGAAGCGTTTCCAAATGTCGTTTAGTTTATTAGGTTTCATGCTGTCTGCCGCCAACATTTTTGAGCAAATGATACACAGGGTCCTTTCTTCTTCATTTACTTCAGTAGTAGTGAACCCAAAATTTAAGTATTCTTGAGAATATTTTCTTGATTTTATTTTCGGAACCACGCTCGTCTGTGTACTTGTTGATGCTTGTCTATTGTCTAATGCTCGCTTATGCCCGCTTAAAAATTTATCCATAATTCTGTATAAGTCTGCTGCCGTGAATATTTAATACGGTGAATTGCAATTACACGAAAATATATATATACACATTCAGAATAGATTCAATAGCGATAGAAGGATCGACTCGAATGAGATTGTCTGGAATTGAAATTGGCGTCATAGAACTTTCTCCTTCTCCCTATGAGAAAACATTTGTTCACATCTGCGCACGCTCCTAACTTAACTTTTAAACTGATCAGACAAATTCCAGACAAATCGAAACTTCTCGCGAAACCGTGAGAATGCCCGACATGGCGGGACGCAAGAGCAATAAAAAGGCATAGGATTCTTGTTTTTTCAATGCTGAGGATCGGTGTTGCAAAATGTCAATAAATTTCCGTATTCTTGGTAATTTTTAGAGTTTAAAATTAAGGTTGTAGTGTAGGTTTAGCGCCAAAATACTCAAAATACATTATTATTGTATACATTTTACTGTATGCTGTGGGGAGGGGGGCGCGATGAAAATTATGATTGAAAGTTGGGCCGTGAAAACTAAAAGGTTGAGAAACACTGACTTGATATGTTACGTAAATGACTTGCCAGTGGATATATTGAATGGACAGATAAAGATAAAAGAAAAGATACAAACTTTATTTGCAGCCCTATGTATATAAATGTAATCTAGTAATATAACCTAGTACAACCCAGTAATTAAAATGTTCTCGTCAAAAGTTTTAAAAGCTAAATGAAATTAAATATATATTTTTTGTTTACTGGTGTAATACACTGCTGATCGAAAGTACACACTAAATGCAAATTCGAAACTTAAAAGTCCTGGAATTTTACTTGTCGAAGCTCAACTGTGATTGCAGAAACTTTTGGGTTCGTGGGAAATGTACAGGAAAAAAAAATGAAATAACTGTTAGTAAGATAGGTGATACCTGCCGAAGAAAGATGATTTGACAGCAACATAAATAGACGTAAATTCTGATTAATTTTATAAATAGCTGAATAGATTTCTTGTTTTCTTGTTATCGTTCATCCCAGATAGGTTGCCGTATTTTGTATATATACAGATGCGTCACTTGCCTATATGTCTATTCGATATACGATACATTCTGTTATGAGATTTCCGAACTAATTTCTTCATATGTTGAACAAATATCTCATGTACCAGGTTTCTGTGAATCCCTTATAAATCGCTTAATTACTTCTTATAAGTATATCCAAAGATGAAATATTATGCTGCCTATAACCACTTTTGGATTAATTTATAATGACTTTGTGTGCGAATGGATTTCTTATATAAAAGATATTTCATGTTTTCTACCATCGATCTGTTTTTTTCCCTGATAGCATGTTAAACATTTTACAACATTTATATATCATTATTATTATTATCATTGTTCTGGTGTGTGTTTTGTGGTTTGACTGTCTTATGGACCGCCCAGCGTAATTATTGCAAGTAGTAAGTTAATTGCTGTGCTACGGCTACGGCAACTTTACTGTTATATATGTAACTGTACCTATTACTGTTATTAATCATAACTGTAATATAGAATAGTAGACTAGCAATGTAGAATAAAGGATGTTTGTGTACATCTCGTAATCATCATTGAGCACTTATCCAACATATAAAAACGGTGCATTTACTATGACCGAACTATTGCACAGGGCAACTTTGTTGGCTCCTTGAACTAAAGCCCTGAGGCACGTGACATAGTAGAATTTCAGACTGGGAATCTCATAAGGAAACATTGGAGGCAAGGAGGATAGAAGGAAGAGGGCCACAACCGCGCTGGGCGGAGAAAAGCAAGACGTCATGGAGAGAGTCTCTCTGCAATGCCGTGCCATATGTCGAATATTAGCTGCGCTAGTATGGCAGAGCGTCATTATTCATACATCACGTGATATATTCCCGAAATGAGAGACTGCAAGCACTGCTCGCTCACTTGGGAAAAACCTGTATTATTTTATTTTCTGTGTAATATTCGCATTACGTCCATATCGCATTACATTATTCGAACATTGCAGATTCGCAAAACTGAAACTTTACTTACGTCCTAAATTTTCTTAGCGCCTTCGCCTTAGGGCATACGGCGCATACAGGGCATTTCTATAAATATATAAATAGGTAGTTATGTATTAATAAACTGGTATGCACTATTAAAATGTATCAATAAAATACTTATTAAGTACTTTTAATCTGTAACTGAGCACTGAATAACTGAATAAGAGATAAGTCACTCTTAAGAGTTAGGTACTCAAAGCGAAACGAGTTGGCGAGGTATCACTTCTTATATCTTTCTACCCATCCCTCATCGTAAACGGACTGTGCATGCTGAAGATCGTCAGCATTCAGGCGACGCAGTATTTAAACAACGGACAAAGCGAATTCCTCATTTTTCCTCCGCAATGCGAGTGATTGAAAGAATTTCGTTCTCCAACATACTAACACGTCATAACTACAGGGAAAGAATATTTCGTAGTTCTTCAAAATTTAACATAATTTCTTGCTACTTAATAGGACATTAGAGGCAAGTTTTCTGTTTCGAGGTTTGCATTGCACAAGGCATTTAATTTAAAACTCTATTAGTACACCTTCCAAGCTCCATATGATAGATAATGTATTATTCTGCAGAACTAAGGATTTTTTTTAAATCTGAAGCAGCAAACACAAATAACGAAAATTAGCCGGTTAGTGGTTATCATGTCAAAGAAAGGAACCTTCTATCGGTGTCCTTTTTATTCTTCAGTAGTGGCAGAACAAGTGCTTGGAGTAAAGATGAAATAAACAAATTCCCCACGTTAGCAAAAAAATAATTGAACACACGCTAATTATTGCGCACGAAATTTTTCCTGGAAGACTGTATAAAGTTGCCTTGCAAGCATCAGCGCCGGAATATTCCACCATGGGCTACGTTACGTGTGCATTCCTATCACAGAGGTTATGGTGGAAATATAAATTTGTTATTAATATTAAAATTTAAATTAAGCAAAGCACATACTTTGCCTCAAATCTTCAGCGTTGTTCCTGAAGAAAAGGATGCCTTGTCCTTACTACCCTCGAAATTCACTGCGCATTATTCACTTTCTCCTCTTTCAAAATGCTGTTTTGTCTATAATTTTTAACAAAAGCGAGGCTAAAACGCCCTGGATAACTAATTAATATCTGATTGTGTTTACATTTTAATTCATTACAGATGGGTAATATTGATGATAAATGTATAAATTGATCGATAGAGTTCCTTATCAGGTTTCTTTCCCCTAATTCCCACACAGCAAGATATAAATTTTCTTACAATTAACTTTTTGTTTAGTTTAAAGCCTCTATTTCCAAGATTTTGTTTTATTTCCAAGCTTTGCATATACACTATTACATAACATTAAACGGATCGAAAATGGAGCGGTTTCTACAAAAATACAGGAAATATTTTTGTCTAATCTGGGTGTTTGCTTCCATGTGCCTAATATTTTCACTTGTAACTACTCTTGTATGTATTCCAGGTTAACGCCTACATTGTCGTCTGTATATCTATCTATATATCAGTCTATATGTGTATATTTTTCTTTTCATAATTTATTATTAATATTATTATTTTTATTTTTATGTATATTTTAAAATTGTTTGGGGCTCAAAAAATCAAGCGGAACAAATTGTGAGGCAGTACTCCATTTTATTTCGAATTTTAATGTTTTAAACTATTCGCCCTTTACGAGTCGATTTTAACTATTAAAGAGGAATAATTAATTTGCATTTTCATATAGTGTTTATTTAGTTTTTTTAGTTTAAAAGTATTCATTTTTTTAATTTAAAATATTTGTAAGAAACGTCAACATATTTTAACATTTCAATTTATATTATACTTCGTTCTACTATTTAATAGTTGCATGAATTTGATATTTAAACTCTTTTTTAAATTTATTCCTATATTATTTTATATTCTTTTTTTTTCATATAATTTTAAATTTTAGCTTTTATCTAAAAGATGCAATATATATATTAATTATTACAATTTAACGAAAGAGAAAAAAACTTACATTATGTGGTAAATACAAAACTGGGCAAACGTATTCTTTGTGTTTAAAGTCAAAATATGCGCTTCCGGTTTGGATGATTTCAACGGGAAATAGAATTTATCGACACAAGCTATGATTAAAAAAATTAATGGATTTAAAATTCAAAAAAAAAAATCCAGTGCAATACTTAATATAAATAATTGCTAAATTACTGACCACCAGTATTTTATTTCCTTTTTTTTTTGGTATAAAAATTTGGAACAACCTTCAATCATAAAACGCATAAATCTCGGCGAAATTTTTTCAAAATTAAACTTCATTGGCGTTGATAGGTAGAGCGGTGGTTTTAGAACATGTATTAAAACTTGTAAAAGTTTCCAAAGCATATTGAAGC